GATTCGGACTTATCGGACCTCCAACGGTACTCTAGGCATCTCCTCCGGCGCTTCATCTCCCGGAGCTCCTCGGTAAACCAAGGAGGTCTCCGGGATCCGCCGCCTCGGAGGAGCCGCAGTGGCGCAATCCGGTCGAGAGCCTCTGACGCTGCCAAGTGCCACGCAGCAGCCAGAGTCTCCACCGGACTGTGGGCGAAAGTGTCAGGAATAACCCCAAGCTCTGTCTGGAACCTTGACGGTTCCATAAGACGCCTGGGGCGGAACCACCTGGTCGGTTCCTCCTCCCTACAGTGGGGGTTTGGTCTCCGAAAGTCGAGCCTCAGTAGGCAGTGGTCTGACCACGACAGGGGTATGATGTCGTTCCCCCTCAGACCAAGATCACAAATCCACTGCTCCGAGAGAAATACAAGGTCAAGCATGTGTCCCGCCGAATGGGTTGGGCCTCGAATTACTTGGGTCAAGCCCATGGCTGTCATGGAAGCCATGAACTCCTGCGCCCCCTCCGAGTTTTCACCGAGCGACGGCAAATTAAAGTCCCCCAGGACCATCAGCCTAGATTTGCCAGTGAATGTCATTATTTATATGGGAGAGAGAGAGAGAGGGAGACGAGAGAGAAAAAGAAAGATTGGAGGGAGAGAATGAATGAATATTTGGAAGATAAAATGCAAAGTTTTGTTTCTCAGTCGTATTATTCAAGTACTTAATGTTTTTCCAAAACTGTATTTGTCAGGATGAATGTTGATTGGACCCTCTTAAAAATGAGACCAACGATTGAGGCAAAAAAAAAAAAGCTATTATTTGAAGTGTGGCGATTTGAGATGTAATCTTGAAATATTAATTTACGGAGCAGGGAACTGAAGCATCCCCAGCCACGTTGCTTAAGGGGATTACAAGAAGTTCGACAGGATGTCAGTGGTTTAAACAAGCGATATAGAGATTAATCTTAGCAGCTGGATTTTTTTTTGCAGGGGGGGGGGAGAGAGAGGGAAAGAAATGACCAGTTTTCCTTGCTCGTTGCTCATTTCAGAGACTTGAAGAGATTAACAGCATGATTAGAACGGGCGAGACCTCGACGAAAAAGAGGGGCATCGTCTTAGAGGAGGGGGCCGAATCACCAGCCAAGCGCATGTGTCCGGAAAACCACACCGCCCTTCTGAGAAGATTGCAAGATGTGGCCAACGACCGAGGATCTCACTGACCTCAAAGACTAACCGAGGATTGGGGTGTCTTTTTTTTTTAATTGCTATCTGGGCTTTTCTTAACATTTGACCAGTAAATAATGGAAGCCGTGACTTCCACATCTCCAAGGCACTTTTGGGGCAAGAAAGGAAGTCCTTTTTTTAACCTCCGCGAGCGCGATGCTCCTGACCTCCAAAGACAAGTCTTTCTGCTTATGAACCACGGACATCTTCTGCTCAAGCGCAATCAGAAAAGTTTTGAGGAGAAGCATTATTTCCTCCGCCACCCTGCAAGTCACACCAGCTTGCTTTGGATGGATGTATCCCATCAAGCGCCGATCGATCCAGTTTTCATCATCATCCTTTTTTTAATTTATTCGGTAGAAGGGATTGGTTTTAATCTCAGAACTGGAAAGACAAATGTATTTTTTTACATTAGCCCATTAACATTATTATTATTATTATGTTGGCTAGTTGGATCTTATCCGGTGTCATGTTTAGAATCTGCAGTATTTTAATCGCATTTGGAAATGTGGCAGTCAGCAGCGAAGGAATCAGCTCTGTGACTAATTCTCTGACCCAGTTCAGAACTGCTGTGAACCTTCTTTTTAAATTAGGAGTGAAGATTCTAGAACGATTGTCAGGCAGTAGTTGAAAAGCTTACTGGAGACAGACCAGAAATTGAAACGGAGGGGAGGCCTTAAACCTTCCCTCCTTCTCTTCTCTCCTTTCTCTTCTCTCCTTTCCTTCTCCTCTCCTTTTCCTCTATGCCCTTCAGGTGACATGGGAATATTATGTATATATACCACAATTTCATTGTATTTTAGCTGTGCAATGTTTCCAGTCAGCTCCAATCAGCGGGTAGCACTTCACTAGTTCTCAAATGCAAATTAGTTTTTGCAACCGTGGCAATGGCACTTTTGAAGAATATATATGTGTACATATATATATATATATTTTAAATAGCAAACCCTAAGATGAAAAGCTGCGTTAAACTGAATTGTATTCATTCCGGAAGCGCACACAGAAGTCATAACTCTTGCGCATGAATATTTTTAAGGTAGGACTGTTAGCCTTCCCCGTTTCTTAGCTTTATCATGGTAGTTGGTTGTGTCGTCCCACTGTTGTTTTTTTTCAAAATGAGGAAAACATCTGGCCATCCTGGATTATCGTTGCAGCTGTTTGGTCCATTGAAGTGTTTAACTGATTTAAATGGAGGTCAGGAAGAATGATGTAGAGGGAGAACGATCTCTTCTTCCCTGAAGAACAGGCCAATATCTAGTCTGCTTGTGATCACAATGGCTCACTAGCAATAAGACCTTTTCCTAGATTATTATTTTTTTAAAGGGATGCCATGGATTAAACCTAAGATACTCTGCACGCATAAGAATGTGTCCTCCAACACTGGACTGCGGTTTTCATGTGGTTTCTAATACCTGCTGAAAATGTTTCCCCCCCCCCCCCCCCCTCCCCATAAAGGATCAAATTGAGTCTATAGAGAAATTAACAATGGTGTTCGGGCAATTGAAGAATCACTTTGAAGACTAATAGGATCGTATTCAATATTGTCAATATTTTGCCCTGGATTGCCTTTGCAACAATATCTATGCTGCTCTTAAAATTGCTCCAAGGGGATCTAAATGTAGACCTTGGAAGAGGGATTTTAGATTTATGAAATGATCGACTGGACGTAAAATTGAATGCAGGGATGTGGTTATGAAATAGGGCAAGCGTTGGCACATGCAGGTTTAGCCTGTTCATGGGATTCGTAAGTTTTATAAAGCAACAAATCAAAAAGGTCTAATTTAAAAAAAACAAAACTGCTAATTCAGCCTAATTCCATCAGGCAGTCAGCAGCTCTGCTTCATCATAGCTTCTCAAAAAGGAGGGAAAAAACCAATTATGTGTCCCATAGATTAAGCCGTAGTTAAATATTGTAAAAATCCTTCCCTCATTTAGTAGACTTTGGATTCAAAATTTCCATCCAGTCATCTTCTGAAAAAGTCTTTTGCATCCAAAGTAGTGAAGGTGCGCTTAAATTTACCTATTGATACCATTATAGAAATGACGTATTTCCTGACTTAACAGATTTGGGGGCATAATAGAAGCCCTTTTTCCTTTTTTAAATGGCCTGTTAACTTGAGGTTTTACTATAGTTGGCAAAACAGAATTCCAAAGAACTCGTACTTAATCGGCAAATATTTTATCCAAAGAAAACAACCACAAGGTGGACTTTTTTTTGCCATGATTGGTCTTTATTTTTTTTTTTAAGATGTCACTAGTAACACATTAGTCAAGCCATCTCAAAGCATGATTCCTAAGTCAACCTACGCTAGGTTCCCTTTAAGATTTTATTAAAACCAAGACCTCTACAGGATTTTGATTTTTTTTCTTCTCTCATTTAAAAAAAACCCCACACCTTTCCTGACTAATGTACTATTTAAGGCTGCCTCTAATATTACTTTGACACATCTTAAAGCTTACTTGAGTTAAGATGCATGCAACTATCACAATGGAAGAATCCTCTACCTAAGCCCCTTTTTGAAGTAAAATCTTCCCTCCTATATGATTCTTGCAGGCAATTCGGTTGCGGCCCTAAAGACTGGGACAAGTTATGTTAGAAGCAGCCAGTAGTGGCAACATCTGTAAAGGAGAAAAGGAAGAGGGGGTGGGGTGGGGAAATAGGTACACATCATACATAAATCAGTCTCAGCCTTTCTGCCCCTGGAAGGGGGTAGAAGGAATTGGAACCAAGTATTTACAAATTCAATATCCTAATAATATTTACAATAGAAACCAATGCATTTTAAAAGTTTTTAAATATAGTATTTTACTCTGCTATATTAGTTTACACAAACACAGATTATCTCTGGAATGAGTTTTTTTTCCGGCCTGCTCTTCACATTTAAAAAAAAAAAACCACTTTAAAAAGGAACCCACCGAAAACTTCTGAGCTACATTTGACTCCTGAGTCATTCGTTATACCCACGCACGACGGGCTTCCCGTACAGAAGCCCGGCCTTTTGCTCTTTTAATAAGACCTACTTGCAGGCTGCAATTAAAACTGTAAAACATCAAGAAAGAGTCCCAAGGAACCCCGCTGAACGGGGATCACTTTTTAAGTCGTTTGCTAGCATTTACTCTTTACTAATCCAAAGTCAAGGAGAACCACAATTTTCGCTGTTGGGCTCTTGTTTTCGTTCCCTCCTTCTAGTCAAAAAGGGTGGAGTGTGTCTCGTCCTTTTCGGGTAGCTAAGTAGGAAGTGACTTCTCTTCTTTGCTGAAAGGTTGAACGGAACCCGGTTTGACCCACGAGAGGCCGGAGACTTGCGTGTTCTTGCATTGCTGGTCATCTCCTTTCTTCTAGGAAGAAACAAAGGAGAAAAAGTATCCTTTGCTTGCAAACTTAAATCGTTTTGTCAAGTTTCCTTTCTCCATTCTTTTGGCTCTTAAGAAACTAACCCCCTCCTTGCTCAGCTGAGTAATCCACAACACAGCTAGTCCTAAAAGAATTAGCTACTCTTAACCCTCTCTGTGAAAATATTAAGTTTAAAGCAGGGGGGGTCCAACCTTGGCAATTTTTTAAGACGTGTAGACTTCAATTCCCAGAATTCCCTTAGCCAGCATGGAAGTTGAAGTTGCCATGGTTGGGACACTTCAAACTATATTTTCACACTGAAGCTGCAGATCTGTGGACTTCAATTCCCAGAATTAGCAGTTGGCAATAACAGTTAGACTTATATACCGCTTCATAGGGCTTTCAGCCCTCTCTAAGCGGTTTACAGAGTCAGCATATCGCCCCCACAGTCTGGGTCCTCATTTCACCCACCTCGGAAGGATGGAAGGCTGAGTCAACCTTGAGCCGGTGAGATTTGAACCGCCAAACTGCAGATAGCAGTCAGCTGAAGTGGCCTGCAGTACTGCACTCTAACCACTGCGCCACCTCGGCTCCATGCTGGCTGAAGGAATTCTGGGAATTGAAAGTCCACAGATCTTTAAAGTTGGCTGGGGAATTCTGGGAGTTGAAGTCCACAAGTCTTGAAGTTGCCAAGATTGGACACCCCTGGTTTAAGCGATGTGCTTTTCTAGCCAGTTTCATTCTAGCCACTGTAAAGATGTAAAAGCGCTCCTTTCCCCCACCCACACCCACAGAATAATCATCTCTCTTATCTCACAACAAGGCTACACAAGGGACTTTGTGCTTGATATCTTTCATCATAAAGAGCTTGCCTCCGTTTCTTTCAATGCAACAGGACTTGCTTCAATTTCTATAAAATAAGACCCATCCTTCCTCCGTACCTTCTGAGTCAACATCTTCTCTCTCACTTCATTGTGTATAGCTGGATTCCAGGGAGAAAAGCTGCAAAACGCAAGGAAAATGTCACCAGGGTTTAAAGTTTCCAAAGCTAAAGACAGAAGGCCCAGTTAATGGGAGTACAGTAGCCCAGCAGAAGTAAAATGTTAAAATTAATAACCCACTGTCCAAAGCACGTCTACTGCACATTTACAATGTCTTAAGAATTTCAAAAACTTGCAATGAATTTTTTTCCCCCACATAGGACATCTCTGAATGTAAAATCCTCCAGTTTGCATGGACTTATAAACATTTTAGAGAGCCTAAATCAGAGGTGGGTTCCTACCAGTTTGCACCTATTCGGTAGAACCGGTTCGTCAAATCTACCGAACCGGTTAGAAGAGGTTCCACCAGTGGACCCGGAAAGCAGGCCACACCTACAGAAGAGCTTCCAAAATTTTTGGAAACCCACCACTGGTCCTTGGATATGATTATTCTACACTATCCTGCTCATATTAATAAAACTCAGTGCCTCTGTGAAAGGAAAGGATGACGACTGAGTTTGTGGTGCAATCAGAACATTGCGTGTGTTGAAGTTGTTTTAACGCAAACCAAAGATGCCTTTTAAAAAACAAGTTTACATCATATTCTTATGCATGCCAGTGCTGTGTGGGAGGTAATTTAAGGTGGTTCTGACAAGTGTCGTCGGCATCTTCATATCCGGTCACATGGGCGGCAAGCCACTCCCATCCGGTCACATGGGCGGCAAGCCACTCCCACAAAGGAGGCCACACCCACAGAGTAGGTTCGAACAATTTTTGAAACCCACCACTGGCCTAAATCTACACGTGTCTAAGAGAAATACAGATCGTTCTCATTTAGAGTGAAGCGGTGACTTGGCCCATGAGTGAAGCGGTCGCTACATGAAACCTTAACTCTGCTTAACAACCATAGTTCAACTCCGACTGCTTTACAGATCTGTGGAGGTCGTAAATGCAAGGATAGATCCCTAGATTACTTTTTCATCCATCCATCGTAGCTGAACAGGCTATCGCCAGGCTATTGCTAAATCAGAATGATCAAATACATGATGCGACTTGATCACTGTATTAAGGTTACCTAATTGCATGGGGGTCTTCAATTTTGGGGGGATCAAATAAGTGACTGCTGCATAATTTTACGCTGTCCACCACTTTGCTCTTGAAGAGTTGAACATCTTTTTCATACCTAAGAGGAGAAACAGGAGGCATCTTAGAACTCTCTTGGAAGGAATAGAAGCATTCTATGAAATATTTTTTGGGGAGAAAAACCTATGCAGATTTATTGCACATTTTTATCCGCCACAAAATTTGTTTTATATAAACATAATGCCCAGAAATCAGAAACTCAAGGATTAAAAAAGAAAAAGCGTAGCTATTGCCGTTAACATGTCATTTTTATATTTATGTATCTAATTCAGGGTTGAAATCCTCCTGGTTTGGCCGAACCTGATGGGACGATTGTCCTTGGTTCTGTGAAACAGTAGTAAAAAAAAAAAGCTTCCGAGGATCGCACAGCTCAGCTGTTTGACGGAAGCTTTTTCCCCACTTTTTAAAGCGGTTTTTCCCTGCTGATTTGCCTGAACCGGCAGGGGGAAAAATGCTTTAAAAAGCAGAAAGTGGGGAAAAAGTTGGTCACGCCCACCGAGTCATATGACACACACGCCCCAAACAAGACCCCAAAACCAGCAGGCGCGGTGGAGCTAAGTTGGGACGAGGGCTCGCGTGCCCGAAGAGAGGGCCATGAGTTCGCCATCACAGGTCTAAGCCGTGTACATATAATAAGAAAACCATACTCAAAAATAGCATATTATGGACTGCAACTTTCAGAAGTTCTCGCATCCTCCCCCCCCAATAAAAAGAACTTACAGCACAGCAGATTCAGGGTTCAGAGGGTTGGTTGTGTCGATCTTGTAGAAAACTCTGCGCGCGTACATCAGGATTTGCCATATATGGTTGTGATTGCGCCTTTAGGAGAGAGAGAAAGGCAAGTCAGAGGCCTCGTCAAAGGCGCAGCTTTCTCTGCTCAGTGGTGAGGCTCTCCCCCCCCCACCCACCCCCGCCGGCCCATCAGTCTCACCTCCATTTGGTAAACGCTCTTTTCACATCCAGTTCCCCTGAGACAGGATCTACGAGCGGGTGGAAAATGGGCAGATCAAAAATCAAGTGCTGAAGAGAGAGAGAGAGAGTGAAAAAAAATAAAAACACCAATGTCAAATATGCAGATTGGTCCATTCAAAGGAACCAACTCCCCTCACCCCCCAAAAAGTTTCCTTCGTTCATCAGAGTAAATATGACGGATTAAACTGTTACTAGATGCAAAGGTCAGGTTGCACATAGGCTGCTAAGAATCCTTTCATACTGTTTTTTGAGCCTTTGAGGGATGGCTTTGAACATGCTGGGGGAAGATCTGAAAAAGCAGGTTAGGGAACCGTCATCAAAGAACTCGATGGCACATATAACCAATCAATCAAGAAATGTCAACGCCAGAGACTAAAATTTCTCAGTAGGTTAGCAGTAGCAATAGCAGTTAGACATATACCGCTTCATAGGGCTTTCAGCCCTTGCTAAGCGATTTACAGCCCCCAACAACAATCCGGGTCCTCATTTTACCCACCTCGGAAGGATGGAAGGCTGAGTCAACCTTGAGCCGGTGAGATTTGAACAGCCGAACTGCAGAACTGCAGTCAGCTGAAGTAGCCTGCAGTGCTGCATTTAACCACTGCGCCACCTACTTCCACAAGATGACTGTGATAATTAGATTACCAGTGGAGTTACGGTAGTTTTTTTAAAGAAAGTTTAAATGCATTGTTGCCTAAAACTCATCTAGTTATTATATTTTAAGTTATCCATGTTTTACATATGGCTTGGTTCCACCTCAATAGTGTTCCGGATTAAAAGGTATTTAATTTTCCCAGCAAAGTTATTGCAGGAAGCTAAAGACATTCTGACAATAACTTTGCTGCCATAAACATCTCCAAGTTTGGCTGGATGTCTTAGTCCCTTGAGACCTGCCAGAGTCAACCCAGAAACGGTAAACAAGGCAGTTCTGTAAGCTCAGGAACTAAGGAGAAAAAGTATAATGCATTTCATTGTGACACAATGCAAGAAGGGAGGTAAATGTCTGATGAACAAGTGACTTCAAAATATTCTCAATAATACAGTTGAACTTGGCACCACAAAGCCAGAAAACACCCTTTGTTACAAATAACTGAGCTTTAAAATCCACACCGTGTGACAATAAAGACAAAGAACATCAGAATTTTTGGGAAGTTTACAATAAATCCACCAGGATTTCTTACTCTTAATAATTAAATGCAGGGGGAAAAAAATAAACATTTGTCCTTTTGCCCACCCTAAAATGAAGAGCACGCCAAGTAAACATGGCTAGATTTTTATATGAATACTTTGAGGTTAGTATGCAAAACAAAATTCCTGAACTGAGAATGCTTTTAAGTCTCAGCAAGGATTAACTAGTTTAAGTTTCTGGGCTGGGAATCTCTCAGGATTATAGGAGCCTAATCTTAACTACATTCGTGAGCTCAGATACAGGATCGCTGGTTCAAATCTCATCTCAGTCACCAACTTACAAAATTGGCCTAGCTTAGATAAGCCATTCTCTCTACATCTCTAATATCTTGTATAAATGTTCAATAAATGAAATGAAATGAATTATTTTTTTAGGTGATGTAAAGCAGGTGCCTCCAACCTTGGCAACTTTTAAGACTTGCGGACTTTAACTTTTTAAGTTGAAGTCCACAAGTCTTAAAGTTGCCAAGGTTGGAGACCCCTGATGTAACTGTTTAACTGTTTATTAAATTTATAGGCCGCCCAATCCCAGAGGACTCCGGGCGGCTTACAGAAACAGAAAATTAAGAGAAATTAAAACAGATAAAACACGACAAATTTAAAAAGACACAACATGCACCCAATCTAAGCGGGGCTGGACCTCAATCCAGGGGTCAACAGCCCCAGGCCTGCTGGAATAGCCAGGTCTTAATAGCTTTTCGGAAGGCCATGAGAGTGGGTAGGGTCCAGATCTCTGGATCGCTCATGTATGTAGAGTATGTGTAGCCCACTCCCTTTAATGGATGCCAGTAAGAAAACAACAGAAGTCTTATTGATCATTTCCAAGGGCTTTATAAACTAGAAAACATTTGATACAGGTAGTTTATTTGCCTGCTTCCTAAAGAAAGTTATAGCTTGGGAAAGCTATTGATTACCTATTTATCTACCGTGTTTTCCCCAAAATAAGACAGTGTCTTATTTTCTTTTGAACTCCCCCCCAAAAAAGAACTTAGCCTTATTTTCGGGGAGGTCTTATTATTTTTGAGGTGCAGGAGGCGGTGAGCGTGGTCACCTCATGGCTACTGCTCTTGCAATATTTTCGGGAAGAGCTTATTTTCAGGGGAGGGCTTATTTTAGCGCATGCACTCAAAAGCCCAATTGGACTTATTATCCGGGGGAGGTCTTATTTTCGGGAAAACAGGGGTATTCTACTAAAATATATATAAATCCAATAAATAAACAAACAGCATACCTGCGAGACCGCCTACTGCCACATACCTCCCAGTGGCCGGTGGGATCACACAGATTGGGCCTCCTTCAGATGCCGTCAGCTAGACAATGTCGGCTGGCGGCTCCCCGGAGGAGAGCCTTCTCTGTGGCTGCTCCAACCTTTTGGAATGAGCTACCCCCAGAAATCCGGACCTTGCCC